GACCGCAGCCAGGGACACATGAGAGGGGCAACTGGAATTTTTTGCCCCCAGGCAGCTGACTGAGCATGACCACAAAAGCACTCTGAATTTTGCTTTGGGGCTTAGAAGTACATTTTACTGCCTAGGGGAATTTGCAAATGAAACCCGGATAATGAGGAACCCTGAGTGTGAAGACCCACTGTGTGTTTGAAATTTAAAATTCTCTATCATTTTTCCTTCCCTCCCCAAGCTGACTCTACTTGTCTTCCTCCTCCCTTTCTCTCCCCCTTTCCCTCCCCTCCTCCCTCCTGCAGCATGGACATGACCAGGCTAAATGTCCCTGTGTCTGTAAACGCCACTTTGGACCATGTGTTCCCACTCCCCCGCGACACCCTACAATCCCACATTTCCCTTTCATCCCGTCACAGTTTCACGGGGCACCAGCTGGTGTTCCCAAAACAATAGTAAGAGTCATCCTAACATGACAGTGACAGCAGCTAGATGCATGCACAGCTTACTACGTGGCGAGCCCTGCTCTGAACAATTTGCAGGCATCAAATAACTTCATCTGCACAAGCTAGTGTTATCTATCTGTCATTGTAAAGGTGAGGAAATGGAGATGAAAAACGGGGATGAGGTGGCCAAATCACTCAGCCTGTGAGTGGGACAGACAAAAACCGAGGGGCACCATAGAATCCGGAGCTGGGGTTTGATCCCAGCGCTGCCCTCTCTCAATGACTGCAGAAACTAGAAGCATGTGGACAAAAACACAAAGCCGCTTCCCTCTGTGGTACAGGGTGGAGACAGAACCGGGGGGAGAGAGAAGTGTGCACTTCACCTCATTCCTTGCTGTCTGTTTTGAGGGGAAAATATAGTAAGATGAAACTGAGCCCTGCATCTGTAATTATGTATAATTATACTTGTGTAACTTTGCACAATTATCTTCTGTCACCTGAGAAGGTACAAATCCTCTTAAAATCTGAACATACATGAATCTTCATTTGGGAATATTTTCCCGTTATCCATCAGCTTTTCTGCCTTCACGTCTTCAGACGTATTATGAGAAAAAAATCTGCACAGACTAAAAAAGGAGATATTTATAAAATGTTTTAGGTTAAGGGAAATTACATGGCTCAGAAATGGTATCTTTTGCAAAAGAGAAAAGAACAGTTTATTTTGTCCTTGATCGAGTTAAAGGACATGGAGAAAAAATAGCCTGGTCCAATTTTAGCTTCTGAATCAAAGACACATGCTTCTAATGCTTGACCACCTCACGGAGTGAAGTAAAAGTCACAAACAGAGAAGGTGTAGACTTCAAATCAAGCCAGTGGCGTATTCTGAACAGGCCAGGAATGCACGCATCAGAAAGCATGAAAGCCACTTGCAGTTCCCGGGCACTGCAATCAGAGTACATTGAGTCCAGTTCAGGAGAGGCTGCCTTCTGCCCCACCCCCGGGGGGCCACACACGCCCTTCCTTAGCAATTCCAAGGGCTCAGCAGCAGGGGCCAGCCTGGTCCTTCTCTTTCAGGGATCTGCAAAAGCCAGTCGATTTTCAATCCACAGACTCGGTAAGGAAGACGTCTTATAAGATTAAGCTGCTTTATTTTAAAAGCAGGCTACTTCCTTTGTTGTGACTAACATGCAAGCCATTTAGCCACTGCAGATTGAGCTTCTGGAATTATTTTATCAGAAAAATCTGCTCAGTTGGGATGTGGTGCCGAGTAGGCATGTGAGACCCATCTCTCTTGTAAAGGTGTTCTGGTTTATGAACCTTTAACAACCTGTTCTTCTTGCCTTGTTGGAGGTATGGCCTCTTCTACTTTGAAAATCTCCTACACTTCCCTGTGATTTCCATGACGTGTGCTCTCTGCAGGGAGGGAAGGGACAAACCAGCAGCTCGGTGCGGTGCTGGTTCCAAACACAGTGCTAGTCCCTGGTCCATGGCCTGGCAGTGTCCTGGGTAAGATTGAAATAGAACCACTGCCCAGTTTTGTAGCCAAGGAAAATGATGCCCATACAGGTCAAATGACTGACTCCCTGGTTGGAAGCTCAGAAATAGGAAAACTGAAATGAAAATCTAGGCTTCTGGACTCCAAAGACTTGTCATTCATTGCTTCCTGGGCTTTGCTTCCTCTGGACGTGTAAGATGAGAAATTCATCTTGCGAATTGAACTTTCCTCCAGAGGGATCCAAATGATTATCCAAACCTCAAAGTGCTCTTTCCAGTTCAGTAAAGAGTTGGCAAGATGACCTTCTGGAAGCGGGCACAGAACCCCACCCAGGTCTGCGGACACCGTCTAGAGCACCTGCCATCTGAGCTCTGCGGCCCGCCCTCGGTGTTTCTGCGAATGGTCTCTAGGTGGCGCAGTGACCCTGTGCTTCCCGGGACCCAGGCCTGTGGATTTCTGCAGGGCTGGATACTCAAAAGTGAAAATACCAACTTGTCAAAGTCCCTGGTTCCTTTCCAGCATAGAAGTCATGACTCGACAGTCTTTCCAACTTCTCAACTCACCAGACGCAAGACCGTGACCTGGGAGGTGGTGCCGAGGAAGTTCTCTAAAACCAAACACTGTGAGAAAGAACCGCGGAAAAAATAAAGGAAACTGACGTTCCCTTTTGGTTCTTCTCTGTCCAAGGTCTTTGCTTTTTTCTAAAATAATTTCTCATGTCCTTGTGGAGAGGCTGGGCCTCAGAAATTCTAAAGGTTTTGAGAAACACACATCACTGACTATCAGGGAAAAAAACCTGCATGATTCCCCAAGAGATACTCGTGACACAGAGCAGCTGTGGGAAATAAAGACAGAGAGCGGTGCCCCGAGTCTAAAGCGTGGAAGGAATTCACAGTGATGTTAAGACGGATGGAATACACTGAGAAAAATGACTCAGATCTTAGCTCACTGAATGCACTGGTGATTTTCATAAGATAGAGCCTGACAATAAAAAGGAGATGCTTCATTTAACACAACGTGCACACGGACCCAGGCCCTGGAACAATCCTAGTCCTACTCCGTGCTCATTTTCCAGCCTCTAGCTCCACTCTGCCCCTCCACACCTGCAGCCGGGACCCAGAAGTCCTTACCGAAAGCCAGGAAGACCTGGGGTAGAGACACGGGAAATGCTGGAGATAGTGCTCAAAAAGAGAACAGGGTTTGCATTTTCTACACTATTCAAAAGAGACCCAGGTACTGGCCTTCTGCCAGGAAGGTGACAGTGTATTAGCACAGAGGGACCCTACAGCCTAGCTTTGTACCAGGACAGTGTGGCGGACTCAATGGGGAGCAGTTTTGAAATGCACACATTTTGCACACTTCCTTGGCAATTTTGCTGTGACTAAAGGGTAAGAGGTTTTGGGTGACCGTGCAAAGTTTGCTCAACACACAACAGAAAATTGGGGAGGAGCTGTAGGTGAGGCAGAGGGGAATCCCACCTCCCCACCTCCATCCCTGGGCTGAGTCTCAGGTGAGCAGGCTGTGAGGTCTCGACCAAGGACACACCAGGTGAAGGATATTCTCACCTGATCCATCGGTCAGGGCACTTTCTACCAAAATTTTAAAAATTCAGTTCAAGATCAAATGAATGTCAAGGTCAAAGTATGGGATGACATGGTATAAAATGATGTCAGATTACCTTTTCAAAGCAAGCTACAAGGGCTAAGTATGTTGTCACCAAGTATTCTCATGAGAAATTGAAATGTATTGAAACAACAGTTTTAAAAATAACTTCAGATTTTTTTAGGAGATGCTACTGAGGAGGTTTTTGTAAAGTGGTCAGTTTGACCTACTGCTTGTTAAAGTGAAAACTACTGAACGTTTACAGGCAGCGATGTGACAATACCAAAAGCCTTGAAAAAAATTTACCACAGAACTTATAGTTCCACAAATATACCCTCATACTGTGGTCGTGGATGTGCATAAACGCTAAGCTGCAGAGATGTTAATCATGGACTTATTAATAGTTTCAAAACATTGACTCATTCAGGAAAAGGGTGTGGTTAAATAAGCTGCAAGACTTCCAAATATCGAAGTCTCAGCCAGGAGAAATGATACCCACTCACGGATGTGGAAACATTTTCAAGGAAAAGTTTCAGAGAAAATGGGTATTCCAAGGAAAACTCCCAAGAGACAAACTTTCTGGAATGACACATGAAGCACCATACCGTTATTGTCAAATGAAATGTAATATTAACATTTACATAGACACATTAATGTGTCTCTCTGTGTGTAGTTTATACTGTTTTCCATGAAAGAGTATTCAAAATTATAAAATAATGTATATATGTACATATAGTTTATATTGCTTCCTAAGAAAGAGCATTTGAAATTACAAAATAACGTCTAGTGATTTCTAATTGCTGAAGCCAAAACCTTATTCTCATTGTTTATGGTGAAAGATAAAACAGAAACTCAACTTTACACCTGCAGAATCTGAGGTGAACTGCAGGTCACCGGTGATGGAGATCAAGGAAAGAACACCGAATAGAAACAGTGGATTGTACTCAGTACAAGTTGTGTTCTGATTTGCAAACTGAACAACAACAAAAAAACTAGGCCACAACTTACTAGCGTTTGGAGAAAGAAAGCTTCAGGAAATAAATTGCATAAATCTCACCCTGATTAAATTCTAGGAGACTCTGAGTTTGTTTTTGATCTGAAACCACCAGATCGCCAGCCCTATCATAAGGCCCACCCCGGACCTAACAGCATCCCTTTCACTCAGGACTTCAAACACCTTGCTGACCAGTTCAGTGAAGGGTAAATGATTTCTAGGCTCACTGCTCCAAGTTACAGTGAATCAGAGCTGAATAAACAAAGGCCGTATTAGTCACACTTGTGCAAGTTCTTCCACTGTGCTGCAGCCAGAAGAGATTTTCATGTGATCCTGTTTAAACCAGCAAAACATCTGGACAAGTGGAAACTATTCCTTAAAGCGCAAGAGGACCACACGCTGGACGCGGCTGAGGTCAGTCCCCGGGAGGCTGCAAGGAGCCAGGAGCGTCTGTCCCGGAGCCGGCTTTACTTACAATGAAGCCAAGTTTCTTATAATCCCGGGTGTACATCGACTTGCGCTTCTCCATGCTGCCGCTGCTGTTGTTTGGTTCAGACTCCGCATCAAAAGCAATTCTTCGAAGTTCAAATATGATGTCTCTCTGAGCCTGAAGGAGTTAGGGAGGAGGGGAAGGGGAGAGAGAAAGAAAGCTGCTTTCATTGTGCAGTGTGACACGGTCTCCCTCTTCCCCAGGGCCTAAATGAATCACTGCACTCAAGCAAAAGAAAGACAGATAAAAAGCAAGCGGCAGTCTAAGTCAGGGCTCTGCAGACTGCTCTTCCTCCTGCTGCTCCTCCTGCTGCTCCTCCTGCTGCCAAGCAGGATGGCTTAAATCCTTGGTTACTCTCACAGCCAAGTCTTCTGCAGTGTTAAAATCAAGTGCCCAGGGCAGTTCTGAATGAGAGCCCCAGATGCCATAGAGGGATGGGGATGGGAACCCAGGCTGCCGGGGAATCTAGGAGATGTACGGGGTTCCTGGAGCAGCATTCGTGTTTCAAGGGATGCCTTTCCCCACCAGCGAGTGACTTCATGGAAAATAAATGGGATAAAAATAAAAGGAAGAGCAAAAGATGGAAAGCTCCCAACTGTCCATTCACGGATGAATGGATAAACAACATGTGCTACAGACATGCAGTGGGGTATTATTACTCAGCCTCAGAAAAGAGCCGAGTTCTGACACGTGATACCGCCTGGGTGAGCCTCCGAGGTATTATCGGAGTGAAGTAAGCCAGACACAGAGGACAAATACTGTCTTACTGCTGTCATATGAGCGTCCTAGAGTGGGCAAATTCACAGAAACTGAAAACAATGCTGGTTACCAGGGGCCGAGAGTAGGGGCCATGGGGAGTTTCTGTTTAAGGCACATAGAAATTCAGGTGTGTTTGTTTGCTGTCCTGCAGAGGGATCCCGCCCAGAGCTTTGCACTTCGCTACATCCCCAACTTCTCTTTTTTATTATTATTATTTTTTACTTATTGTGAGGAAAGATCTCACAAAGTCACTAAGTTGCCCAGGCTGGGCTTGAACTTGGCGATCTTCCTGCCTCAGCCTCCCACAGTGCTGGGATTACACTCGGGCACCACTGTGCCAGGCTAGGAATTCACTTTTGCAAGATGGGAAAAGATTTCTGGAGATGGATGGTAGTTATGTTTTCACAACAGTGTGAAATGGACTTAATGCTAGCGAATTGTATAGTAAAACTACTAAATGTTATATTAGATGTCTTTCACCACAATAAATAATGTTAATTTAAAAAAAGAAGGAACAGTTAATGAAAAAAAAAAGCATTGCTCCATATGAAGATGCAATGCCCTCTTCAGCAGAAGCAGGATGGTGACAGTCTAGTGTCCCTGGGGTGGCCACATTTGGCCTTGCCAAACACTGGGGTACAGTCGTTGGCCTTTGCAGGTCTCTCCACCATCCTTGATCACACAGCCTCGCTCCATGAACGAAGTGTTCTGCAGCCACCCACCCCGCATCTGCAGTCCACATCTGCAACAGATCAGGCCCTCACGTGCCAATAATGAGCCTCTTCCTTTCCAAAGCTGCAGCTCTGTTTAAGCCGAAAATGTGCTACAGCAGGGGCAGCGTTCCCAGCTGTTTTCTCTCACTCTGCCCCTACACAGCAACGTCTCCCCCTCCTCACCCTTTCTGGATGGAGACATAAAATTTCATGCCCAGCCACCAGAGACCCAACAGGGAATGACAGCAAATAACCAACCAACCAAAATGCCAGCCCAGAAATCAAGTTCAACAGGGAGAACTACTCTTGGCATGGACTGCTGGAGAACGGAAATTGCTCCCCACCTGCAGAATCAAAAACCATACAGTGCTACCCTTGAGCCCCCATGGGCTGGGAATCTGACCCCAAAACTATCTCCATGGAAAGGATTGTGGTCAAAAGCCAAGGGCAGCAACGATGAGCTATCAAGCCATCTCATCTGACAAAGGAAGAACATGCCTATTTTCAGGGCCTAATGGGACAATCCATTCAGGTTATTTTCTGTTCCTAGATGCACCTAATTTTAAAGCTGTGCCCCTAAGTTTTGAGATGATGATAAACCATTATAGAGTCATCAAAAACTCAAGACTTTTGCTGGTACTCTCTCTCTCTCCCACGTTTTCACCCTGTCCAGGGAGCACCCACCTGGTCCTGCGGGTCCATCTTGGTCATCATTCTGTCTTCCAGGAGGTTGAAGGTGAGCACTTGCAGGACATAGAGCTGATGCGCCATCTCGTTGTTTATGGCCCTCTGCGCTCGGATGACGTGCTAGGGAAATGTTCACAAGGGACACTTTCAAACATGAACGAAGAACAACAAACCAGACAACAGCCCTGCACCCTCACCCTGAGGCCAAGCAGAACCTCAGCATCTTTCATGCAACACCACTAAGGAGGGAGACTGGGAAAGAAAAGCCTTTGGAAGAAAAACCCGGGCTCATGCCATCTGGGAGCACTCCTTGGCATGCCAGGACCCAGTGCGGTTAGTGATTTTGAGGCCAGAGTCCAGGAAAAGACCTACTGTGTGTAGGAGGACGTGAAGAGGGAAGGTACTTCAAGAGAAGAAGTGCTGCCTTAAAAGCTTTCGGAAGATGCACTTGAGTGCCATGGAGGGGCCAATGGTGCACACAGATCATGAGCAACTCTGCCATCATCTTAGCTATGGGAGGTCTGCCAGGTGCTCCCCCTTCTGAATGGGGAAGCTTGAGATCAGAAGCACAGTACTGATGTCCTGCACAGCAAGCTCACTGGAGGCGCTCCATGAGGCTCACCCCATCACAGCGCGCTAAGCAAATGCTGCTGCGCTGCTTCCTCACCGGAACGATTCAGCGAGGAATACAGTGGCTTTTCCCGCAGCAGTGAGACGGAATACAGATCAGACATGAGGGGAGCGGCAGGAAGCTGGACCCCCGGACTCTGCCCCCACCACAGCCAGGCTGGAAAGGGAATGGAATAGCTCCGCCTCTTCAACACCACTCTGGCCCGACTGACACGCTGTTCAAACCCTTGATTTCAAAAGTGCTAGGCCCAGCCAGGCCTTCTCCAGGCATGTTCTTGTGCTAAGCCACCCTCCCATAAATGCTGAAGTCCCCAGTATGGAGAAGTTGTCTTCCAGCCAGGACTAAAAGAAGCCTAGGTCCTCAGGGTGCTCCCTGGGTTCCTCTGGAGCAGGCAGACACCTTCTCAAACAGCTGGTTAAGGAAGGAGGGGATCAAAAGAGAAAGAAGAAGGAAGGGAAGAAGGGGTATAATAAAGTGGCTGAACCAAAATTCCTGCTGGAGGAGAAGCCAGACAATGGGATGGGGAGGAAATCAAACCCCATCCCCTTCATACTCAGAACAAAATATGAACTTTTTAATACACATTTAGTATGTGAAGTGCATGAGAACCTATTTTATGAATAACTCCAAAAGGCTCTGCATTCTAGGATGCTGACAGAGAGGATCAACCTGGAACTTCTAGCCATCAAAGCCCCATAAGAGCAATGCCATCAAATCAAACTGATCTTTGAGACAAATGGCAACTGTCGATCCACCCACTCGTTCCTAGGGACAGTCTAACCTCAACAGATGCACAAAGGCATAGCCAGAGTAAGGTAAGACCACCGTAAGTCAACATTCCTAACCTTCCTCTTCTGCCCTCCAGCCCTTCCCTGGAGGGCACTTGGGTAAAGCAGCTGCTATTCTTTCTGAGAACCAATGGAAAGAATGATCTCTTATGCATCCTTCCTCACTTTCTACAAAGCATAATTTGATGTAGACCCTATCAGGATGCTCTACTCATATACATTTCCGATTTCCATGGGGGTGGGTGGAGGGGGGCTACATTTCATGTTCCCAAACAACTGAGACACTTCTTTCTCAAACAATGGAAATCATACTTGTGTTTTAATTCAACCTTGACAGGTTGGAGGTTTAAAATCAAACTTGATCACAACTGGCCTTGAATAGTTCCTTGTTTTGTGCTCACACAGTTTTTTGTTTTTAATGGCTGCCTTGCATAAGTGTGTGTGTGTGTGTGTGTGTGTGTGTCTGCGTATACATGGGTCTTCCACATGGTGTTGCCGATGTTTTGATGTGGGGGACCTTGCTAATCTTGATGAGACCGTCCCTCCCAGGCCTAGGCAGTTTTTGGAGATCACAAGTAACTTCTTCCATAAGCAAACGGCTAGGATCCAGGCCGTCATTCCCTCTCCAGTCACCCAGACACCGGACACCAGCGACAGCCTACAACCCAGAGACCACTGCAGCTATTCAAGCTGGCCAGTCCTAAACCTGATTACACAGCTCCTAGATCCCAAGTGTTCCTTCCCTGGAAAGCCCCAGTAAAGACCTTGGCCACATTTCCCTCCGGCTGTTCCACCTCCCCACCAGCCAGGTGCTTCCTCATGTGGTCTCCATGGCGTGACATCCCCTCCCTTGGGAGTTTAAGTAATAAACTTTCCTTGATTTTCAGTGGCCATGATCTCTTGAGCTGTTGGCTTCACCATACCTGAATAATAATAAAACACACATTTTGTATGTGTATGTGTATTTTAAACCTGCTAAACTCTTCTTTGTAATTACATTATTGGAAATACTTCCTTTCTTCTTTCTTTTCTTCCTTCCTTCCTCCCTTCCCTTCCTCTTTTCTTCCTTTCTTCCTTCCTTTCCCTTCCTTCCTTTGCAAGCAGCAAACTGCTTCCTTTCAGTAGCTCACAAAGCCTCAAGACATCTTGCTGTGCAGTTCATTTCTGAATGCTCACAGTGTGGCACTTAAAGCTTCTTTCTTCCCCAAGGTTTAAGGTCACTTTGGATGAAAAGCTCCTGTGCACATCTTTCTTTCCTCCCTCTTGCAAGGGGGCAGAGAAGATGATGGCTAGAGTTTCAGGACTTCTCTTAGAGACCTGGTCTATTTCCAGCTAGCAGCTTCATTAAGGAAAGTAAAAGCTTCTGCTGGTGGGTATTTTTAAGCCTTGGAACTAAGATTCCCCTCTTGGCATAGCTGAAGCTGAACAGAGTGTAATAAACTGAGGCCCAGCCCTCTTGCCCAACTATGTCCCTTTTACTTCCCAGATCAGGTCCAGAGACTCCTCCCTCCAATTCTAGCAGGCAATGCCTGCAGGGAACCCTTATTTATTCCAAGCCCCAGAGTAGCCTTTGCTTCCTTGGTGAACCCTTTTGCTTAAGCACAGTTTCAAATCACACAGCAAGCCACAGCCTGAAGCCACTAGAGGTGACAGCCCCAGGCCATGTCCCCGAAAACAGCAGCCCCAGCGCGCAGGTACTCACTGTTAAAATGATGGAACGGAGCTGCTTCTGCGCCAAAATATTTGCCATCTCCTGTGGAAGAGAAACACACCCACACCAGGGCTGAGGTTAGAAAGACACATTTCATCCGGGCCATCCTGAGAGTGCTTTGTAACTGCACATCAGCAGTATTTCTTAGGAAACAGGGAACTCTGACAGGCAGTAGTATTCAAATTATGTTTTGGACATTCCATTTAGATGACAAAACCCAGGTCCAAAAGCACAGTGGGGGTGGGGTAGGGATCTGTAAACTTTTTTTTTTTTTCTTTAAGAATTTCTTCCTTCTAGAAAAAGGTGAGCGGTCAATAACAATGAAATTCTTCTGAGCAAGCAATGGTTGTCCACTAGAAAACTTCATCATCTTTTATTAGACTAGGTGCAAAAAGGTTTTTCTGGGCTATACATGGCTCTTGTGAGCACGTTTCAGTATTAAGAACCATCACTTTAAAGATCTAAGGATTCCAAAGATCAGTTCAGCTTAATCTGTGCAAAACCAGAGTGAGCCGCATATATCCCCAGCCTGTAGGGACAGCCAAGTGGGTTTTAGCAAAGGACAAACATCTGGGCAGATGTTTCACTGTGGAGTTCATGCTGGGCTTCAACTCTGTTAGGCCTCATGTCTGCAGACTATATACTTTGTGCTTTGGCATTTCCTAACTGGAATAGAGGATTTGGGGGTGATTAAATGAAATGATTCACAAACTTGTTTTATAAATATTGACAAGTAGCTACTAAGGGAAAATTAAATAGTCCAATATAGCCATGGTACACACCGGCAGAAAGTAAAAAATACTGCTGATATTCAGGAAGGCACTCAAAGGTAGTTCTGGTACTTTTTAATGTTGCTACTTTTACTGAACAGAGAAGAATCTAAACTATGATTTAAAAAAAAAAACAACCATGAATTCTACCAGGGTTCAAATAAATTTTCAGAAAGCCAGGAGAACCAAGAACATGGAGGAGGGAGCTACAAAGGGACAGACAGGCAGGGGGACAGGAGCAGGATGGGACAGCAGGGCCTCTACTCAGGCTGACAAAGGGAACTTGGGTGACTTACAGTCAGAGGACAATCAAGGATGTCAACATTGCTCTCTACATCAACCTAACGGCGTCATGGCCACCACAGAAAGGAAAGCAAGCAGGAGAGAAGAAGGGGTGGGAATTCAGAGCAGTGTTAGAGGTTGCCAGCTTCAGTGTTGTACCCCTGATGACCCATTGTGCTGAGGCCATTGTCGGGTGAACCCACAGGGCTGGACCCCATGGACCTTGAGTTCCAGCACCAGCTACTTTCCTGTGCTCTTGAGAACCCATCAGAAATAAACTATGAGGGACCCCAAAAGAATATGCCTTCCACGCAGTGAGACTGGCTCTGCCGTCTCCCCCACCTACACAGAAGGGTTGTTCAATTTTGTTTTCACTTTACCGGATCCCATACCAAACAAAAGGCCCAAAGGAGCTTCTCTTAATTTTTAAAAATAAACAGAATTACTGCCTAACCAACACCCAATTACTTTCTGTGTATATTTTTGCCTATCATTGGTTTGTAAGATTTTAAAGGGAATGATACTATTTCCGGTTTCTCCTACAGCAATTATTAATTATCTACACACAACATTTATTCTCTGAGTAGGATTATGGGCTCATCAGGGGTACAGAGAAAGTTTTTGTGTTCTAAGCCCACGTCATGATGTCTAGCACAGAGCAGGTAATAAATGTTTGATAAAAGAACAAATGAGTATTTTATACAATACTCCTAAAGAACAGGAACACAGTCCTTGTCTACATTATGGATAGTTTTTTATAATATTAAGGAACTGTTTGAGTAAACATAAGAATCTATGTGGGATATTTTATAGCATTAAAATGATGCCAAAGTATGGATACATATAAATATGGGTAGAGATATACCAACAGAAAAATGCTCGACTACTATTTTTTATTTTGTTGTTTTAAAAGCAGGTTTTAAAATAAAATCCAGTGGATAGAGTATGTTCACCTTTGGTGAAAAAAAAAAATGACACGTGTATAAGAAAATCTGCATAGAGTGAAGCAGGAAGTGGCGCCATGACAGTCACTGGGCAGTGTGGAATTCCAGTGGTTCACTCCTTGGGAATTCAGTTAGGGGAGCCTGTCAAGCTTCCTCTTTGTGAATCTATCTTTTCTGATTTTTCTGCCAGGTCTTTTAACTAAAAAGTTATAAGTACTGCTGATTGAAAGTAAATTTTTTTTTTTTTAAATTTTGTGAAGGATCTCATCAGCCCACTTGCTACTACAATAATCACCAGAAAAATGGAATGTAATGGGATGGAAAGGATTCATCACATGTTCTCCACTGGTTTAGAGAAGCAGCATGTCCTACATCGTGGAGGTGTGGGAAAGCACGGCTATCACCCCAAGGAAAGGAGACCATGGAAGAAATAAGGTAGAGGTGTTTCAAATCATTCCAAAATCACTTGTGTACATTTATACAAAATCACTTTATACATACAAGAAAACCCAAATCATGGAGTCATGAGTGTGTGTGCCCCCTAGTCAGAAAGAGAAGGTAAAACAAAAATCCAGTGTCTTAAGCTTTTAAATATCAACAAACAAAAAGATGTTCTATAATTACAATACATAAATACTTGATTACATTTTAATTTGATTGGTGAGAAAATGGGTATGAGGTATTCAAGGGTTCTGGGAGGTGTTTCCCTGACAAACACCAGAGTATTCTGTGGGTGACATCTTCTTCTCTGTGGGTGTTCAGTGGAATTCTTCGTAGGTAAAAGCAAGGTTAAGTTTGGCTCCTAACGCTGGTTCTCACCCGCTTGGCAATGTAGTCAAGTTCTTTATTCCCTTTGGATCTCGATTTCCTCATCAGTAAAATACAAAAAATGTGGCTTTCTCTTAACATGAAAATTAAAGAAAAACAGGAAGATATAAACAATGAATAAAACAATAAGCCTGGCATTAGGACAGGCTCCTGGTGATACTATCACTGATAGCAGGGTTTGCTAAATTTTCCTGTTTGCCAAAAACAAAACAAAACAAAACAAATCAGAATGTAGTCAGTAACAATGTCAGTGTCCAAGTTAGACCAGCTAAACATTATTTCACTTCTGCAGTAGAGTACAGACTAAGGTGTACTCTCTGCTGTTTTAGCAACCTACAGCAACATGGTGATAATCACAACTGGCCTAATGTTCTCTCTTCCATGTCCTCTGTTGACCTTCAAAAAAACATTATCAAACTAACTTTTTTCTTCATAACCAACTTGCAGTCTTCTTAGCACTAACACTACTAACTCACTCAAAATTTTTTTAAATTTAAAAACCATAATGTTTCCTCTGTTTTAAGGAAGAGCAGTCTTAAAGTCAATGGTTTACAAAGTCAACATCAATCTTTCACAGGTAAGAAAATATCTTGTAGCTACTTTTAGTTCAAAGACTGAAGTAGTCACATAACACTTTGTTAATTTCTGCTATATCATATATACTCTTTCTTAGTGGGATTATTGTTTAAATAGTTTAAGGTTATCAAAGTACTCTTATTACTACTATAGAACCAGACATCCAGACAGGGTCCTATATACCTGTATTACGTAATTTTCAAAAGAAAAAAATTTGATTCACAAAATCCACACCTAATATTTTATTGACATTCCACTGTATTTCCATGTTATGAGCATCTTAAAGTGCATATGGACTGACATCTGATCCCCTACTTGTCCATAGCCATGAGAATGTAACTCAATAAGACAAGAGCGGTGTCTGATGTAAAGCAAGATGCGAAACTCTACGAGGTGTATGCATCTTACTGGGTATGTCTAGATCCAGAGATCCATGGCCCTTGGTGGACATGAACTTTCATTTTGTCTGATATAACTTTTGTTTCCTCTGATACAACTTTTCCCACAGACAGGGAAAGGAAACTTCCAGGAGCTCACAGCAGAACACAGCCTTTGTGACCCCAACAACCTACAGTTTGCTGCTGTTGGGCCTGCCCAGGAGAGGGATCACACTCCTCCAATGCCCAGAGAGAGTTGCCATGCAATTTCCCAGGCTGCCTGGAAATTACCATGAGCTCAGTATTTAAAAAAAAAAAATCAAAGAAGCAGTGCCATCCACAATGCCAACTCAGACCTGCACAGCTATCCTTACAAACTCAGTCTGGATATGTGAGTGTCCCCAGCACAGGATGGGGGAGGTCTGTCACCTCTTCCTTGCTCCATCTAATTCAAAATAAACACATAAGGAAAGCATAAAAGGACACCACTCACTGTACAACGCAGTTCCCAGGAATGAACAAATACTTCCAAAGGAAAAAAATCAGAACCCCTCACACTTAGCCACTGGGGTTTCAAAACTTTGCAAATGAAAAACTAAATTGAAATTCACAAGTGGCTATGGTGGTCCATGCTTGTAACCCCAACACTCTGGCAAGCTAAAGCAAGAGAACCCCAAGTTCAAGTCCAGCCTGGCAAACTTAGCCACTTAGCAAAGTGCTATCTCAAAACAAAAACTTAAAAAGGGCTGGACATATAGTTCAGTGCAAAGGCCCTGGGTTCAATCCATAGCACCAGGAAAACAAACCAACAAATAAACAAAATCTTTGACACATTATTCAGTAGCTGGTTAGCTTTTTAAAATTCTTCTAAAACAACTCATTAAGCACCTGTCATGGGTTGCCCAATAGGGCTTTCTAATGATTGAAATAACTCCTGCTTCCACCCAGATTTTACAAGAAGTGAACGGTGGCCATGGTAATATACATGTTATTTTGACAGGAGAAACACAGGTATGGGCAAAAGTCCAAGAGCTGGAAAGATTCCACTTCTTTCACATCCCTCTCTGTCATGGTCCATTCCCTAGTTTGAGAAGAATTAAAGAATCTGCAGACAAAAAGACGACTCAAGGACAGACTTTTATGGGTAAATGTAAGGGGATCATCCCTCTTTTTATGATGGAGGAGAACACACTGCTCAGCCCCCCACCCACATCCACTCATGGAGAGATGGTGCTATCACCGAGCAGAGGGCCATCTGATGGGAAATCTTATCTCAATCAGGGGCAGCAGTCTGCCTATTTTCCCTCCTGCTGCCGCAGTGAGCATCCAAGGAAGTGATGGAGACCTCAGGGGCTTCTGCCTCCGCCTGCATCCCAGTAGCCACACTTTGGCTTCCACCTTAGATTACTTCCCATGAAAGGCATCTTCTACCACAGGCCCTAGGGCATGTCCACTTCTAACAACTTCCCCCAGCCCAGCCCCAGGGTCACTGTGGAGCTCCCACCTGGGGGTGGAGCAGCAAGATCCCCCAGAGAGGAAGACAGGTATTAGCACATGAAGTTTCTAGCCCTGGGTACATCCTAAGACCAAAGCGATGCAGCTTACCTGCCTCCTCTCATCTGGGGCCTTCAGGAAAAGCGCATTAATCACAGCAATGGTGTAGGTTTGGATTTCTTGATCTGTGCTGTAAGATCCAGAACAACACAGAAAGTCAAAAGAGGCCAGCCCTGAGTCAGAGATGCTATAGCTCAATATCTGCCCTCTCTCTCTCTCTCCCTCCCTCCCTCCCTCCCTCCCTCAAACACACACACACACATACACACACCCTGCTCCTGCTCACAGGTGAGAGAGAAAAGCAAGGTCTAGAAAGCTGAGAATGTGTTTCATGCAGCACACAGATGGCAGTACAGTAGGTGCACAATTATTTCCAGCTGCTCAGTGGAGATCACCCTGAAACACAGGCATCCGGCTGGCCTTCTCCCCGTTTTCCTCTGATGGGATTAAAGTCTAGACCCAGGAGATGGTCATAGTAGTAGTAGTGGTAGTAGTGGCAGTATACATGTTTGTGTGTGATTCTTTGTTTGACATATGATATATGTTAAAAAATAGTGTTATCTCCACATTCCTAGACTTATTTCAAGAAAAATGCTTGGATTCTATGGCTATATTACGTATTCTAAACATCTAAAAGTTTCCAAACAGAAACTTTTCAGTAGTGAGAACAGGTATTTACGTTTATAAATTTGTTTTTCCTTTTTTTGGGAGGGGTACTGGGAATTGAACTCAGGACCTCACGCTTGCCAGGCAGAAGCTGCACCACTGAGTTAAATCCCCTGCTTTTCAGTGGAAAGACATCAGAAATTCCCAGTGAAGCAAAGGTCTAAGGTAAGGTCGACACAGAGTACATAAGAAGGACCCATGGTAGGAACAAAGAGCTGCCTCCACAGCCCTTTGGGGGATTTATCTGGCTGGGCAGGGTGGCAGAGCTTAGAACATTGCCAGGATGGGATTCACAGCCCTGCTCACTCTGGCCACCTGTGTAGACTCAATAAGTTCCTGCCATCTTTCTAGGGTACAGTTTCCTCATCTGTCACAAAGATAAGAACACACGGACTTCATGGGATTGCTGGAAGGATGGTACAATGAGGTAATGCATATAAAGTCCTTTCCACTCTGCTTGGAAAATAATAAACTCGGCTCTTTGGGGCAGTGCACTGTGAATGAACTCATGTGCTCCTGCAAAGCCATCATGCTGAAGACAGAGCTAATATCCAGAGACCATTGCCCACACCTTCCGTGACTTAAATTTCAAATGCTGGTCACCCTTCCACCTCCACACTGCTAATGCATGTTGGGAGTTTATATTATAACTACCACAGTGAACACGTTCAGTGGACTGAGAACACTAATACTCCCTCCACTCCTACCCCTCACAACCAGCCCTCAAGAGCCAACCAGTTTTCCTCTTGAGAATTTACATGTATGACCTGAGAGACCAGGGACAGAAGTCACTCAGAGCGGGTCATGCTTGTGACAGCCAATACCCCAGAGCAAAGGACGCCAGAGAGGCCACACTTTCCCTCCATCCCAAAGCAGGGCTGCTTGGCCATTTCTGGATTCTACAAAGTGCCCCAGAATCCTTACAGAAAACTTTTCGTGTAAACTGGCTTACAATGTGTGTTGCAAGCCCAAATACATTAACATATCGAGTTGAACTGCCCAGTGGAGTCATGACCAGGGTGGTGCAATGGAGGTAAGAAGGTGGCATGATCAAGGTGGTGGAATTGGAGGTAGAGAGAAAAGACAAGGCCCAAAGACTGTACGGGTTTTGGAGCATATGTCTAATTTCACAATATAGCTCAAGCTTCCAAGGGGGAAACATGCACATCTTATATTATAAAGTTCAAAAGAAGAACATCATGTAGTCACCGGAATCTCAGGGAAAAGCCTACCTTTAAATATTCCTTGTTGAAAATACCTACATAAATTTCTGATGAATTATAAAAATACTTATGATATCACAGAAAACATTACCTGAATGGCTCTATTAAGAATTGAAGAGAAAGAACTGTGCTATTATGCCTTACTACAAATAAAGCTCTACCAACATCTGGCAAAATTTATTAAAAGTGAGAAACTCCTAAAGACAGAGCTGGGGGCAGAATTCACCAAGGAGAGGTGTGGGGAATCAACATGGTCCACGGTTTATACCCAATCAAGATTCATTTTTGTGCATTTAATTGAACCAATAGCAAAAATTCCCCAGGGCACTCCGGAGGCTGTCTCCCCAAAGTGCCCCACCCCAGGGACCCTGGCAGCTTACCCTTGAAGATGAGGAATGAGTTGGCCGATAGTGATCTCCTGTGCCACCTTCTGGTAGAGATCATGGCTATTGAGCACCATGGACTCCAGAATGGCCAAAGACCGCTGCAGGATTGAGATGTCCATGGCAGACTTGTTCACAAAACTTGCTATCTGGAAAACCAAGGGGCACAAGTGACTGCTTGTGACAAGCGGTGCAGAGAAGAGGAGAAGGAACAGATAAAATAAGTTGGGAGGGGCTGGGGATCTAGCTCAGCGGCACAGAGCCTGCCTGGCAAGCGCAATGTCGTGAGTTCCATTCCCGGTACAGGAAAACAACAAAATAAATGAATAAATAAATTGGGAACTTGATTAAGCCAACCAGATGCCACAGAAAGTTAATATTCCATGGTTTCTCTTGTATGAAAAATCCAAAATATAAATAAAGAGTAAGATAAAGCAGAGACGGCAGGCAACAGGGAGGTAGACCTTTTCGCATCAGGGGAAGTAAAAGTATTACTATATATATTCCCCCAAAAGAATGTAGCAAACTTAAACTAATAAAAATATGTATTAGAAAATAAAAGGGACAACCAAATGCTTAGGGTGTAGCATACAGCAAAATATGAGCAAATGACGTTTATAACATCATTACAAAACACAATTTATTAATTTTATAACTCAATTGTAATCAAACACCTCTGTAAGAGACACCTTCAGAAAACTGTCCTCCAGTTTTCCCAGGATGAGTCTTAGGAGTTTCAGCTTCTAGGAGCAGACATTTTCAACAGGTATCTTGTAAAGATTCCTGTGTTTGTCTGAGACAGTAACTTCAACACTCACTAATAGCCATCCTTCTCTCATTCCCAAGTCGCCCCTTCATCCACATGAGTCTTGGCTTTTATGTTCTTATTATGTTCCTGCTATGTTCTTAAGGGACTCCCACAAATAACACTTGTCAGCATAACTCAACTGGCAAATTTTCGGTGCCTGGCTACTCTCCTGGCTATTCCTAAATTTTTCCCTTATTCCAGTTTTTATAGTTAAAATAAATTTTTTCCATCTCTCTCAAATGTGACAAACGGGAATTTATTTAAATTAGCAGTGCTAAAAGTCAAAATAACAGTTTCTGTCCTCAAATGTATCCCTACAGAATTAATCACTAAAACCCCAATATGGGAATGAATATAACCCCAAATATCATAAATCACAACATAAGAGAGAAGTAAAATGGGGTTAGAATAATGGATCACAGCCATCCAAACACTTGGGTACCATAAAGGTTTTATTTTAGAGGCCTCATTAAAACTTATTGCTGTCTGCTGACAACTCATGCTAAAAGGCCATTATTATATCAACATAATGACCACTTTCCTAAAAGCTAAATAACTTGGCTCCCTGACAAGTAAACACTAACTGCCTCCTTCTGTCAACACCAATTGCTCCCATTCTGCTGTCCCATGAGCCTCTCTTCCTGTCCATGATAAAATGCAAAGGCACCCACAGCAATCCCCTCTTGCCATTCCAATCACCTCCAGCCCAAGGTCTCTGTGGGGACCCTAGGGGTCTGGGTGCAGATACTGACACCCTGCTGCCACTAGCCCCAGGTATGTGCGGACCTCAGGAGGTGGGCAACAAAGAAATGAAGGAGTTCAGTGACATTACGATTTACCTTCAAGAAGCAATTGTGTAATACAAACCACAGTCCAGGAGAGTGTGAGAATTTTAAGATCTCCAAAGACTGTGCTAGCTCTCTGCATGCCTAACAAACGTCCTCAAACTCTCCCTGGCTAGTCCTGCCTCAGCCTCATGTCTGTTCTCATCTAATGAACTGAGCACGTGAAGCCCTCCACCTTTGAGACACTGGGCACTGCATACACGACCTTGGTACTGACCCCCTACTCTTTTGTGTTTGTTTTCAAGAGAGAGTCTCCCTAAGTCAAGTTGCCCAGGCTGGGCTTGAACGCGCCATCCTCCAGCCTCAGTCCCCCAAAGTGCTAGGATTACGGGTGTTCATCACCACATTTGGCTTCTCTCTTTGTTTCTTCCAGCCTATCTTTCTCTGAAAAGATCCAGTTGCCCTCAAGTAGCCTGCAGTGCAAAATGGAACTTTGAAAGTTCATTATTTTTTCTTTTAGAGATACACAATCTGTCCAGATTTCTTCCCGCCGAGCACACAACCAACACCCGCTCTTCTCCTCGGCCCTGATGAAGTGACAGGTAGGAAGATGCCACCAGTCCCAGATGCCACTGCCCCCAGGAGGTTGCAGCCCAGTTCCCTTTCCACAAAAAAGGGGACAATGAGCTGCAGAGGCTGGAGGCCACAAAGCGAGCTTGGAAATCTGCGCTGTCTCCTGTGCTCCTCTCCCCCTCTTCCTTCCAGTAACAGACTTGGCCCACCTGTACATGGCGAGATGGTGATTTGGGGCAAACGGGCCCTTCCCTCTCCTCAGAACTGGCTTTGAATAAAGCCTTTTTTACCAAAATAAACGGTCTCCTTCAATTTGTTCAGTGGCAGCAGTAACACACTGTATTCGCGGCTTCATCCTTAACTCTGGCCCTTCAAAGCAGAGTTTGGAATTCCTTAATTTCCCCACCAGCATTCCAAAACTTTTCATTGTCCAGGTATAATTCTTGGCATTGGTATCTCAGAAACTGAAGAACTCATGAAATTCATTATGAACTTCTAGTTTTCTCTCCATCAATTATCTCCTCATTCCAAGACCCCCTTTCTTGCCGCCATTGATTAAATTTGGATGTGCTTTAACATACCGCAGTCTTCCATCTGAGAACCTGTTGCTGACATCATCAAATTCTCCCCGCCCCCTCTTCATTCATTCATCTCTTTATTCATTCATCTCCTCTGCATCATTCATCATTTACTCATGCACCAACCCATTCATTCGAATACTACAGAATGCTGTGGCCAATGCAACAGGCTTGCACAGTTCTATAGGTCTGGAAGCACAAAGATGACCAAGACTCACACAGTTTATAATTTCAAGGACCTTACAGTCTAACTGAGACAGCTAAACATCCCTTTACTAAAAAGTACATAAAGTGCTTATTCTTGGCATCCATAATTTTACCTCCATTTGGATATTCCAACAAAGCTTATAATTAAATGATAAGAAAAATAACATCATCACCTTTTTACTCTTTCCTTCTCAATTACCACATTTTTCCAAGTACTGATAATTATTAGTACTTAATAATCCCAATTCTCTATTTGCTCTGTCTTCCATCCCTATGAATGCATTTGAGAGGTTTTCTTGTTTTGTTTTGTTGCAGTACTAGGAATTGAGCCCAAGGTCTTTGCACTGGGCTATGTCCACAGCCATTTTTACTGGTTTTTTTTTTTGTGTGTGTGTGTGACAAGGTCTCACTAAGTCACTAAATTGTCCAGGCTGGCCTTGACCTTGTCATTCTTTTGCCTCAGTCTCTCAGAGTGCTTGGGTTCTAGGCACGCACCACTGTGCTAGGCTGGGATGTCTCCCTCTTGACACACATTCAGTGTAGACACACAACCCTAGCCCACTGATCCGACTCATTCCTGAGTTGCTAAAAGAGCATCTTCTTCAGTTTCTTCTATGCTCAAGTTTCCTACATAGTGTAAATTTGCTTCCTACTTCCATAAAGGGCCTGTGGTCAATATATCGCTTTGTAACATGTTCATTCAGTACTCTCACTCCTTTCTGATAGGAAGCGCACCTCCTTGTTACAGCTTTGACCATTCTCTAGAAACCATCACCCCTAATCCTTCCAATGGGCTTGTTCCATGACGGTCAGATCATTTGTGATCTTTGTTTTAATTCAGAGATCTTTATACCCCACATACACATTACCATTTGTCATATCTATGCCTTTCTCTCCTATGAAACTAATCTTCTTCTTTCATGAATGTATTCTTGCTATAATTTCACCTGTTCCTGACATTCATTACCAGTGATTTCAGAGTTGTTCTGAAGCATATCACCTATCAAGTGACTGTGAAACAAAGCAACCTTAGTCCCTGCCCAGGGAAGAGTCTGGGTCATGCATGACAGCCCTATGTTCACTACTGGAGTCTATATTAGTCCGTGATTGAAATTAATTTATTTTGTCTTTATTTGCCAGTAGTTTTAACCAAATGCTTAAATGGCCCCATACTTTCACTGAGTATTAATAATCAAGGCACCAGGGCTGATCCAAGCGTAATGACAAACTTCCTCAAGAAAGCTTGAGACAAGCTCCTCAATAGTGAGTGTACAAATCACTGCAAGGTATAAACATTACTCTTTGGGTCCATCTTGGAAACCAGAGATCTTAGTGTGGCTACAGAAGACCACAGGTTGCTTGAATTTTAATTTCCATTTCTCCATCAAAAAGTTAATCATGGTTTCTTTTGCCTTGCACCTTTTCCCTGCTCTGTGACTGCATTTTCAGAGGACCCAGGTGTGGCTGCTTCAGCCAGGTGCTGTCTGAGAGGTGGCCTGCGATCTAAGGGAGAAGCAGTCAGAGGAGTTAGTAACAACCACCAGGTGTGATCCAACCATACAGAGAATGCTACATTTTTAAAATTACTGTAATAAAGGATGTATTGTCACAAATTACCCTCAAAATACTCCCCTTCACTTCAGATACATTTACCCCATCATCTTGACACTTACTGAAGCACTTTCAAGTCATTACAAAGTGTGATCAAAAATACAGGGAATGTCACTGCTCAGTGCCACCCAGCAGAAAGGCAGGCTCATTAAAAACATGGCAGTGTGTCCTTATCTACCTTATTCACCAGATTTGACACCCTGCGATCTCTAGGTCTTCCTCAAAGTCAAAATGACCTTAAAAGGGAAACATTTTGAATCAGTTCAAGATAGTAAGACAGACAGGACAGGTTGGGTGTGGTGGTGTACATACACCTGTGATCTGAGCACTTGGGAGGCTGAGGCAGGAGGATCGCCACAAGTTCAAGACCAGTCTGGGCTACATAGTGAGCTCAAGGCCAGCCTGAACTACACGGCAAGACCCTGTCTCAAACAACAAACAAAAAGCCAAACAAAAACAAAACAGACAGGACAGTGCAACCAAAGACACTCACAAAAGAGGACTACTAGAAGTGCTCCAGAATGTGGCAGAAATGATGGGATCAGTGTGTTCGGTGCCTGTGTTCAAAGCAGAGGGGATTCATGGCCTTGTGTCTTTTCCTTTAATAAACTCTTTTTAAATTTAAACACACATCATATTTTTCCATCAGACCTTGTATGCATTCTAGCTCCTCAGGCTGCTCTTTTATTTAAAACTGTTACAACGATGAAACAGAATGTAATTGGAATCACAGCCCATGAGCCCACAGCACACCAAACACTCCTGACGGTCACTTGGAAGTAGATCTCAAAATTCTTGTGTGCATTATGGAAATCAAAAAGGGCCACAGAGGGCATGAAGCTTTACTCTTGAATTTTAAATCATTTGGGTAGAGTGGTTCATAAATCTCCAAAGGTTTTAAGAGGCCAAAACTACTGGGTCTGTAAACCCAAATAGCTGGCTGCTGGTCCTGGCCCTGGGGACAAGCGGGGTGAGCCAGATCCTCTGCAGCGCAGGAAGAGGAGACTTTCCTTCCAAGAGAAGGCACTGATGTTATACTTGGCTAGCAGAAATCCAACTCCAAGCAAGTTCTATTTTCTTTTCCTTTCTTTCTTCCCCATGCCTTCTTACCCTTCCCCTAAGTAACCAGGTCTTCACACAGCAAGCACATTATATATTGGTATCCAGGGACTCCAGGTCTCAGAGTGTTTATGAAACGATGTTGTTCAGTGCAACCACAAGTGGTAAATGAGAATTTACATCCACACATAACCAAACAGAGAAAGGAACAGCAAAGCAGACAGGGAAAAATATTTCTCCTAAGTGGTTTGAATTTGGCATTAAGAAGAAGCCAGCTTCAGACCGCAGAGATAGGCATCTTTTGTCTGCGCACTTCCCAGGATTTTTGTTGAGATAAACTCCATTTAAGAGACAGTCGCCTGCATACGACCCCCACTTTTGGAAGTATGTACTGAATCTGGTCCAGCTAATAAAGGGAAAAAAAGTTAAACTTACAAAACTTAAGTAATTTTCTGATGACTGTTTTCCAAATTCATGTAAGTAGTAATTCAAAGAAAACATAACAACCAGAAATGAAGACATGGAATATATTAAATACGTTGCCCTTCAAAAACACTTAATTGTTTTTATGTTTACACTGCCAAGACTGCTATGCTTGGCTTCCCTGGATTTAGTAAGATTTTTTACTTAATTTCAATGAATGAAAACTATTTTCGTAAGTAGAAAACTAAATCATTGCCTCATTGCTGGCAACTAATCACATCACTTAAAGAAAAATGGCTTTGTAAATCCTTTCTACTCTACTTCAGATATATGCAATAGAGCCTCGATATACTCATTCTTTTTTTCAAGCTCTATGGCTTTCTTTTGTTCTTTCTTTTTTCAGTACTGAGAATTGGACTGAGGACACAGAGGCTCAGAGAGGGTGAGTATCTTTGCACTGAGTTACCAAGTACACCTCCAGCCCTTTTGTCTTTTTTTTTTTTAAGACAGGGTCTTGTTAAGTCACTACGTTATTCAAGTTGGGCTCATCGTTATTTCAAAATAGTTTATATTTCAAGGTACACTTCTACAACTTTGCTTTGATTTTCTAGGTGTTGCATAGATTCACTAAACTCTTTCATTTAGATTACCCTTCCCAGAAATCTACACTAATGAAATAAATTTATGAATTCCTAATATTTCTTGATCCCTAATACAATAGCAAAGAGAATAAAACACCAACAAATGTATTTCATGAATACAAAGAGAGGAAAAAGTAATAAATGAGTAAATAACAACACAATTTAATGCTATATTTAAAGAGTAACAAGATCAGGGCTATTTATTGTTTGTTGGAAGGGTAAAAATGGAATTGGAAATTTGCAGATATGGCTTCGTTACATGTCCATTGCGGGGAATGGTGGGGTGCCTTCTGTCCTTTCTCCCCATACTGTCCTTTGCCGGTGCCTTTTCTTCTTTTTTGTTTTTTTTTGTTTTTGTTTTTTGTTTTTCTCCGGTACCGGGAACCGAACTCACGACCTTGCGCTTGCCAGGCAGGCGCTTTTGCCGTTGAGCTAAATCCCCAGCCCCTGCCGGTGCCTTTTCAGCTTCCTCCCATAGGAGGAGCCAGTCCAGCCAGGGAGTGCCTAAGATAGTTTCTGCAGTCTGATTACAAATACGCCCAGGATCCAGGGACCCAGGCACACCTCATTCTCATACTCCAGTGCAAACCTAGGAATGAAGGGAAACTGTGTCCTTTCTTCCCGCCCCTGAACACCAGTTTCAGAAGGGAGCATTGAAGAAGGACCTTAGAAACTCTGACTCCTACAGGGTCCTGCACACTCTAGACCTAACCATGGGACACGGGACATGTAGATTTCCTCTCAACTCCAGGTTCCCACATGCAAGCCTTTATAACCTCTGTGGGGACAAAATACCACTTGCTCATAGAACTCAGGTGCCTCAACCTCCACATAGGCAACACTATAATAAAAACCATACCCATCTTTTCACATAAAGAACCAAAGGAAACAATTATAAAATATTATGAATGCAGAGGAAAAACATTTATGTGCAAGAAGGAGGGAAGGAAGCTTGGGGATGTGCGTCTGAATTACCTTCTTAATGAATGCCACTGAGAACGTATCCCACGACACGATGCCATGGTCCATGAGCTCCACAAAGGCCGTCAGTGTGAAGGACAGCATGTCCCCAAAGCTGCAAAACAAGCACAGTCATGGGGCCATGGCTGAGCACCAGGAGAGGCGCAGAAGTGAGGAAGCTCTGGGGACATGGTTTTCAAATCTCTCAGGATAAGCAGCTGGGTGCAGACAGCTTTCTCATCCCCAAGAGATGGGAAGGGGCAGACGCTCTGAGTCAGCCAGGGCCCCACAGGGACCTCACTCTGGAGAGCTGTGTCACCTTAGACAACCCACTTACCCTCTCTGAGACTCTATGTCCTCAGCGGATGAGCTAGGTAGTGAGTCACAGCTATTTAATCCCAGGGCTGCGTTACAGCACTTCCCAGAGTGTGCAGTACAGAAGCACTCAGGAAATGAGAGCTTCAAGAAAAGCTCCTCTGTGAATAAATGCTAAGAGAGAGCAACGGACTTCTTTTATTATCCACAGGGGGAGATTCAAAATAATTCTATTAGAGGATCCTCATTCCACAAATTAGAACAGGGGTCAGAAAATTATTACCCACGGGCCAAATCCTGCTGCCACTTATATTTATAAATAAAGCCTTTGGGGGGGGGATACAGATAATTATAGAAATAATGACTTCCTACATTGGGTTTGCTGACCCTAAGGGTTGCTGCATTGCAGAAGTATGGAAGGAAGGTCTGATGTGTGGCTTAGAAATTGAAAAGCATATTAAGCGGTGCTATGGTTTGAGTAAGCGTACTGCAAAGGTTCATGGGTCCCAGCTGGGGACTATCCAGAGGTGATAGGAACTTCAAGAAATAGGGCCAGTGGGGGTCCTTTCATCCCTGGGGGTTGCCTTTCTAGAGCACTGTGTGACTGATCTCTCCCTCTTCCTCATTCATTTTGGGGGATGAGGTGATGGGTTCAGTCCTCCACGTGCTCCCCCTTATATCGTGCCTCACCCAAAGGGACAGAGACAACCAGTCAGGGACTGAGACAGCTGAAGCTGCGCTTGGAAGTGAGTCTTCTCTCTTCTAAGCATCTTACCTCAGGTACTGTTATAATAATGGAGAGCTGGCTAACCCGGGCATGCAGGGGCTCATGGGAAAACACCTTCTGTCTATGCCTGTTCCCTCCGGGACCCTGAGCACATCACGTCCTGGTGTCTAATGCTTTCAGACCACACTTTGGCGGACGTTCATACACTCAGAGTCCTTACAGATACGCCTTTATCAGAAATCATCATCATCATAAATGTTCCCTCAAAACCCTCCCCTTTAATTCCATGAGTACACAGAATTATTTTGATCAGGATGTCTCCAATGCATTACATAACAATACAAATGCCTACAGTTGATTTTTTTAAAAACTACAGGTTGTTACTCAGGTTTTTCATCTATAGATTCATAGGGAAACCACTATTTCTATATAACGAGGTTTCTTAACACATTTGACTGAATCTTTCCATCTATTTTCAATTGATAGAATAGAAAACAAGTTCGCATTTTTTTTTTTTTTTAAAAAGCTGCTCAATTTCCCTGCCTTGTATTCTACTCAGCCTACACTTGAAAATGACTTCTGACAATCAGGCCCCCTCAGGTGCTACAATGCTGAAAGGAAACGAAAGAAGGGGACGTGGCTCTCCAGGAAGGACCGTGACCCAGACCTGGGGGCCTCAGTGGGGAAGAGACCCAACCATAGGTGTCCACTTTCTGGCCGGCCTGGACCACTGACCCAAGATGAATGCTCTTGGTCTATAGATGAAGTATATAATGCAGCCAATGTATTCAACTAACAAAATTTCAAGACAAAATTTTGAAACTTTTCAACAGGGAGATAGAAAAAGGACAGGTGGCCCAGAGACGGCAGGCGGGACACACCTATGTGACCAGTTGGAAATGGTTAAGTAGGTGGTGTCTGGGTCAGAGGGCAGAAGTTTGTTCCAGCTCTGTGTGGACAGGTGAAGCCCTTATCTATGTTTCAATTTCCTCATTTATCAGAAACAGGGATTAGGATGACGGTGGTGTCGGAGTTGGAAACAAGCTAACCTATTTAAAGCCCTTCAAATAGTGTGTGGGGAAGAAGTACCCTGTGAGTGTTAGCTATGATCTCTCCACAAAATTAGTATCTTAGAAGGTGAATGAAGCCCGTGATGTTCAAGTGTTTTGCTGTCACCGTGCAAAGGACTCTGTTTTGAGAACCTAGGAGAGCGGAGGGAATGAAGCAGTCGCCAACAGCTCTGCTGTTCAGAGGTGCGTGGCGGTTCTCCCAGTCTTACAGGTGCCCCTAGGTGGCATCAGAGGGCCATGTCTCCAAAAAAATTCCAGAGTAGAAAAAGCAAACTCAAAAACAGAAAGCAAGAAGGATACCTGGAAAAGGGATTACAAAGACTAGTAAGAAAAAGTTAAATTAAAATTCCAGAATGACCTTTTCTACAGACTATGAGTCACAAGAAAATCTAAGTATCAGATTGCAAAAAAAAAAAAAAAAAACTGCCTCAAAAAAAATAAGAGCTAATACATGCAATTGGCAAGATTTATTAATAGATTGTGTAGGAAATAATATTACTGTGAAAATATTATTAAATGATAATGTATAGCATGAGTAAGCAATATTTGAGGTTTTATTTAGTTAAAAGGAGAAAAAGGATCACCATGTAATAACTCATAGCTGGTTATTTGCTTGTAGCTGGCATGCTAAAAGAACATAACACTAAGACTCCCACATATGTGCCACCATACGAATTCCTAGGCTTAATCTGTATGGTGACCATGGCCTCTTCTATGGACAAAAGCTCTGGCTCAGTGATGTCAGTAACAGACTCCACAAGACAGCAGGCAGTGGAAAAAGAATATGCACAATCCTGGAACCAAATTCTACATTCCGTCAGCTACCTGAGCCTGGGAATACAGATGACACCAGTCTTCATGAGCTGCTTCCAAAGTAAAGGAGGAAATTTTATTTATTCTCTCCAAATGTCTAAAGGTGAAATGACTGCTGGCTACCTTCTCAGTGGAACCCTGATTCACACGGTCTTTGTAGCATCTGAGGAAAATCCATCTCCCCTAAAACGCTCCTGAACTCTGTCTAAGCTGCAAGGGTCCTGGGGAAAAGATGGACAAACAGTATTATTTGATTTCCAAATCTCCATGCTGGTTTGGGAGGCCAGAATTTCAATCTCTAAACCTTGTAAGAAGCTGGATCACCATTTCTAAGACTGCACATAGAGATCCCTGTGCTTTTTAGTGCGCCGTTAGTCAGATGACTGACAAGTGAAAGAAAGGCTTCTTTTCTTCACCCACCAACCAACGTCCCCATAGGGAGACTGCTGTCTTAGTCCATTGAATAACAAACATGATAGGGCTGGGGATTTAGCTCAGTGGCACAGCGCCTGCCTGGCAAGCGCGAGGTCATGAGTTTGATTCCCGGTACCGGAAAAAAAAAACCCAAAAAACAAAAAAAAAAGTGTTAAAAAAAAATAACAAACATGATAGATATAGATGAACAGATACATAGAGGTATAGAATATAACCTATTATATCATGTTAAATATTAATATCGTGATGTGATCTTGTGCATTATATAAAATATATAACACAAATTTTGTCACTTCCTATATACATATATCCTATATATACCACGTTTGATTTTCTAAGACGCATTTCTAGGTGGCATAGTATGTTTCCATGAAGGAGGGCTTTTTAAAAAATTCAGCCTTAAGATTTCAGCTGCAAGGAAAGGATGCCATCTTCTAAGTTTATTAAATATCATATCAAAAGACCTCTTTCAAACAAGGTGCCTATAGAAGCTCTTATCCAACCCTGACATTGGTGTTTATTTCTGTTCCTAGAGGAGTGATTCAGACTCCAAAGAGGCAAGGTATAAGCCAAGATTCTACTTCTAAAATCAATGCTGAGTACAGAGCAGCAAACCTTAAAAGCATTACAATTATAAAGCAACCACATGGTGCATTCAGGAACCTTTATAATTATTTGGTTAATTTGTTTCTGTAAAGTGCGAGGCTAAAGATTTTGCAGTGCTGATTGCCACAAATTAAGCCGTCTGCAAACTTTGCATGCTGGTCGACAGCCGCTATCACAGCCAACATGCCATGTGTGCTGGAATGATTCAAATAAATATTTTTTCATGAATAGAGTAGCGATCATCTTCTTTCCAACAAAATGCAGCCAACCTCAAAACAAGCATGTAACTTGCATTACTCGTTTTATAAAAGAATACAGCTTCCAAATGTTTACATAGGATGATGGCATGCTCAACATGGAACTGGACAAAAGATGACAATAAAGGCACCATTTAATGGTATCAAAATATCATACTGAACAGATCCTTGACTGCCAAACTTATTAGCTATAGCTCTGCCTGGTCTTTCAGTTTTTGCATGCATTTTCTATTGGGGGGAGGTAAATAAACATACACTGAAAGGTATGGATTTCTAAGTCACATTTTAGACCATCACTTAGCCTGCAGAATCATAGCTTGACTCAAATCAGCAAAAATTTCATGGCTCATTTTTTAAAAAATTTAAATGGACTCTGTTCTGTCTCATTGATATATCTGTCTCTTCCCTAAATACCAATATCATACTGTCTTGACAATTAATTACATGGTAAGTCTTAAAGACAGTGAAATTCTCTAAATCTGTTGTCAACTTTTTGGGCTACTTAAGGGCAAATGTATCCCATTTATTTTCTTTGTTTGTGTGGTACCAGGAATTGAACTCAGGACCTTGTGCTTGCCAGGCAGGCACTTGTGCCACTGAGCTATGTCCCCAGCCATTTTTTTTTCTTTTTATTTCTTTCTTTTTTTGTGCATTCCTATTGAAATGTTAGGTTTAGCGTACCACTTTTTATAAAAATATTTGATTGATATGGCATTGAATCTATAAATTCATCTATTACCATAAATACCATCTTCCAATCCATGAAACAATGTAGCTCTGCACTTAATTAGGTCTTCACACTCTCTCTGCAATATATTTATATCTCAGTGAACAGATACTGCAGGTCCCTTGTAAAACTTATTCACAAAAATTTTATATTTTTGACACTTTGAAAATATCTGGGTTTTTTGTATAATGATGTTATATCCTTAGTCCTTCCTGAATTCATTAGACTTAATTTGTTTGTGGGTTGCATAGGATTTTCCACATAAGCAATAATGTATTTTATGAATAGAGATATTTTTAACATCTTCCCTTCTAATACTATGCCTTTTCTTTCTTCACTTATTGCAATGGATAAGAACTTGTGTACAATGTTGAATAGAGTACAAGAAGCAAATATTTGCCTTTTTCTCAATCTTTAGTACAGGAAAAACGAATCTTCCAATATTAAGTATAATGGGTTTTTAGAGATGGCCTTTATCAGGTTAAGGATATTCCCTTTATTCCCAGCTTGCTTAAAATTTTTATTATGAATGAATGCTAGATTTTATGAAATGCCTTTTTTTTCTATTAAAATGACCTTTTCTATTTTTCTCCTTTATTTTATTAAATGCTGAAGCACAGTGGCTGATTTTCAAATGCTAAACCCTTTCTCATATTAAATCCTTATTGGTAGAAATGTGTTATTGGGTTATATACTGCTTGATTAAATTTGTTACGATGCTGTTGGGGGTTCGTCCATCCCTCTTCAGGTCACTGGCCTATACATTTTTATTTCCTGTATTGTCACCCCCAAGTTTTAGTATTAGTGTGATGCTGACTACACAAAATGATTGGAAACTGGCCTCCCCTCTTTTACTTTCTGAGAGTTGTAGATTTGGTACTTTTACGATGAATGTATGATGGAATTCACCGCTATCACCAATTTCCATTATAGAAAGATCTTTGATAATGAACTGAATGTCTGTAATAGTTATTTAGATTTTCTAGTTCATCTTGTGTCACCTTTACTGCTAGGAAGACAAAGGCTATGCTGGAGAGAGGAAGAGCAAGAGATTTATTGTGATACTGGATAATGCCAGTGAGGAGTAGGGGGCCAGAAATTAGGTGCTATGGAAATCCTGCAGACCCTGAGACAAATCTGATGTCAGTGAGAGGAATGGCTTGAGGAAATAAAAGAAGATCTGGGAGACAGTCTCAGTCAACTAATGGTAAACTCTAGAACAAACACTACCTGCAACAAGCAGAATGACCAGGTCGTGGTATGCCCACCAGGCCTTGACCCTTTAGCTGCCATGGATCTGACATGTGCTACAGCTGTGGGCTGTCTCCTATCTGCAATCCTCACGGCAGAGTAGCAAGGTTATTTTGGGTTTTGTTGTTATTGTCATGATTTAGATCTAGAATGCCCCCTCAACAAAGCCTCACATGTTTGGAAGGTGATTTGTCATTGGATCATAGCTGACTTGCTGTTGGGAAGTGCTGCCTGGTTGGTGGTGAGTCACTGTGTGACCTGGCAGGATGTGTCTCCCTTCTGGGTTTCTCCCTTTCTCTGCTTCCTGGTTACCATGATGTGAGTAGCTTTCTTCCACCAGACCTTTCCACTCTGTCCTTCCTGTCTTGGAGCCAGCTGACTATGGGCTGAATCCTCTAAAAACCCTGAGCTGAAAATAAACCTCTCCTCCTTTAATTTGTGGCTGTCAGGTACCGTATCCCAGCCATTAGAAAGTGACTAAAACAGTTCTTTGTATTTGTTTGGTTTTTTCTTTCTTTGTAATGGAGATTGAACTGAGGGCCTTTACATTGAGCTATATCTACAGATTTCTTATGTTTACTTTTATTTTGAGACAGGGTCTTGCTAATTTACTAAATTGGCCACACTGGGCTCAAGCTTGCAATCCTCCTGTCTCAGCCTCATAAAGTGCCACCATGCATGGAATGCAAATTCTGTCTTGAAGGAAGATCAAAACCACATGTTTCCATGGCCGACATATTTGGTAACTTCTACTTCTCAAGACCTTTGCCCATTTCATCCAAAATTTAGTGTGGTGTGGTGATGCACACCTCTAATCCCAGCACTCTGGAAGAATAAGAGACAGATTCACTAGTTCAAGTCCAGCCTGTGCAATTTAGCCACTTAGCAAGATTTTGTCTAGTTAAAAATGTAGAGGGTGTCTGGGGATATGGCTCATTGCAAAGGCCATGGGTTCAACTGCCAATACCAAAAATTACTGACATAAAGTTTCCACAGTATTACAATATCCCTTCATGTTGCTCTTGTTGTCAGTGAGGTCTGTAGTTACATACTCCCTTTAATTCTAGTGTTGACATATGGGGCTCTGTCTTCTTTTTTCCTTAACTGATATTTCCAAGTAATTAATTTTGGGCTTTAGTTCTTCCTATTAATTCTCTCATAATTCATTGATTGCTCTTATTTTATTATCTTTTTTCTACTTACTTGATTCATATCCCACCCTAGTATCTTAAATAAAAATTCAGGTCATCCTTTGTTTGTTTGGTTTTTAAAAATTTTCTTCTTTTTTAATAAGCATGGAAGCCTATAAATTTCCTTCTGAGTACTGCTGTAGCTTCAGTCACAAGATTTGATTGGCTGTCTTTTTCATTAACATTCCATTAAGAATATTTTGTAATTTCAACCAGGTTATTCCTTAACTCTTGACTAATAAAAGTGTTATCCAATTGCTGATCTTCAATCATCTGGAGATTTTTGGCTACTTAATTCTTACTGATTTCTAGTCTAATTCCCTTGTGATAAATTGAAAGATCAAAATAAATGCTAGATGATGGGAGGAGACAGACTATGTGCCGACGGCAAGGGAATCTGAAGACAGAGGGAGGGAAGGGAAAATAAAAAAGATCAAGATGTGATATGCACGTGTACGAAGGCCCCGCAATGAATGTATTTATTATGTATCACAGATATTTACTATGTAAAAAAGAGGAAAACAAATCTCAATTTTCTTGTGACCAGAGAACATAATCTGTATAATTTCAGTCATTTCAAAATTCCTGAGCCTTGCTGAGACCCAGCGTATGGCTTGTGTTGATGAATGTTCTTGTGCACTGGAAATGAGTATATATTCTGCTGTTGCTACAAGGCCTTCAATAGTGTTAAAGAGATCTTTTGTACCTTGGTAGAATTCACCTAATTTTTCTATGATTCAGGAACAGTAGTTAAAATCTTCATATAGGATAATGGGTTTGCCTGTTTTTCTTTTTAGCTGTCAGGTTTTGGTTCAGGCATTCTGAAGCCTTAGTATTAGAGGCTCCACGCAAATTTAACATTTTTGTATTTTCCAAGTGAGTGTAACATTTTTACTATGTTATGCCTCTTTTTTGTGATAACATACTGTCTTCAAGTATTAATTGGCTTAGAAAAATAAATTAGTCAATTGTGTTGTTGTTAGCGTTTGCATAATATATGCTATTTCATCCTTTTCCTTTCAAGCTACATGTGCTCATGCATCTCTTGTGAAGAGCACAGAGCTGGAATCAGCTTGCTCTGGACTCTGCCTCATTAGTGGATAAAAAAAGTATTGGGGAACAGGGCTCAAAAAGAAGTTCTGAGAGCTTCACACAGAATTATCAACTCATTGAAAACACCAGTGATTGAGCATTTTCTCAGACCCAAATTTAGTAATTTTCATTTCACACATCAATCTTGAACATTGTTTCAAAAGGTGATCCATTTCTCTGAGTCACTGAAGAAAATCAAAGACTTTTAACTTTGAACATCACATAGGCCATGGAAAGAAAGTTTTCTTTAAAGTAAAATGTAAAATTATGTCTAGCACTGCTCCAGGAGAAGACTAGTAATCCTTATATGATCATTTCACGGTCACAAGCATAAAATACTCTTTCCACTACAAAGTAAAAAGAAAAGAAAATAAATTTTAAGAAACCTGTTTATAAGAACATCAAACAAAAAGAAAGAAATTGCTTACTCAAAATATCTAAATACATAGCTATAAAACTAGTCACAGGACAAGGTTTATGCAGAGGAAAAGGAAGTATTAAATCATCAGTATCAATTGATCATTATGTTCTTACCAAGGTTTCATAATCTTCTGCAACTTCTGGTATCGTCTGCAAAATTTAAAAACAGCCATGTGAGAAGCATGTTTGCAAACAATCATTTCTACACAATAAACACATCATGAAGAAAACTCTGGATAAGATGTAGGACAGATTAACTGCCAATATGCAAAGGGACTTTACTCATTTCAAAACATGAAAATAATACATTGGTGTTCTTTAATGACAACAGACAATCTAAAGACCAGGATTAAACTATTCTTACCCATGTACTGCCATTCACTTTTGAGCAAAGGCAGAAGGAACCCTCCATTTGGATCTGAGTGGGTCTGGGTTTAAAGGAGGGCAGACCACTAAGGGCTAAGAATGGATAAGTTCACAGTGAAAAAAATTTGAGCCAAAAAGCACTAGACTATAAAGAAATTATTATCTTGCTTTGGTAAAATGCCTCCTGAAGATACTTTCTCTTCTCTTGAGACAAAGCACTTTTGATGGAAGACATTCCAGTGTCTTCAAAAAGACACTGCAATTATGTTGGATACCAAGATGATACCTTGGAGCCCACAGTGGATAAACCTGCCTAGACCAATGGGCAATTGTGCTTTGAAACAGATGAGCAAACTAACTAAAAACCTACGCTCAAGAAGAAAAAGGAGGGGCTGGGGATTTAGCTCAGCGGCAAAAGC